TTATCCAAAGGGCTCTGTGTGAAACCTGGCATCGGCACATACAGAACATGTTGCATCTTTGCTGGTACCTCTTCAATCTGGTTTGCAAGACATCCTGGAGGATGTGACCTTGGAAGGCAGGTGGAATATTGAACCTGCATAGTAAGAGCATCTCCGCATCGGTGGCAGCCTGTTGGGTACAGGGCAGTTAATAAATAATGAGGATGTCAAAGATAACAGCAGGAAAGTGGGAGCAGGTAACAGCTTTGCAGCCAGCTTTCTGACAGCCGCCTGGCAACGTCCAATTAAGAGGCGCACGCCGCTGCTCAGCCCAGAGCGGAGCGTGTCCGGCGCCGGGACTGGGGGGTGTCGTGGTGCCGGCACCGGGGCAGCCTGCAGCACTCTGCTCGCAGCACACGCTCCCGAAGCCGGAGGGAGCAGGCAAACGCTTTGCAGAGCTGCGTGGGTCTGCCGGGAGCAAATCCCCCGAGGAAGCAAAAGGCACTTGGCTACAGCACTGGGGAGAAAAAAACGGGAGCAGGTTGCCCAGCATGAAGCTGGTGAAGCCCTGCATGGAGCAGGGGAAGGCAGCATTGCAAGAGACTGTTGGATTAGTGAAACGCAGGATTCACTTTCTCGGGGCTTGCGGGAGAGGGGCACATGGGCCCTGGCCCTGCACCGAGGCACAGGAGCTGCTGGGGCAGCTGGGGATCACGGTCCCTGCTCCCCCAGGTGCCTGTTTCAGTGCTCGCGTTTCGTCATGCCACAATCCAAATATTAGGAATCTGACTACATTTGAGGTGTAATTGATCCTCTGATGACTTTTCAAACATCTGGTAAGAAGGGACTGCTTTCCAAACAGCAAGATCTACACCAAAATGAGCTTGACTTGAATAATAAGTATTCCATTCTTGTTTGGTAAATATACCCAGTGTTAATGGTGCTTAATGGTGCCTGTAATTGGTGTCTAAAGTTATTTAAAAGTAAATTTACTAGAAAATAATTAGCAATTTTATAGTTCACTACTTCCTAATTTTGTTGATAAAAGTTTTTCAGTGGTTTTTATCAGATGACACAATAGGGCTGTGCTGTGAAATAGCTTTTTTCCAAACTAGCAGGAAATTGTGCACACAAAATAAGATAAAAAAGTTTTACCCCTAATTTCTTCACCTGGCAGCCAGCCCTCGCAATCCTCCTATTATCCACTGATTTATCCTTCCACAGCAGCAAGTGAAACCTCCCAGGCGTCGCTCGGGGAGTTGTTCTTTGTGACCTTGGGCAATGCACCCCAGCAGGAAAAGCTGCCCCCCCCCCCCCCCCCCCCCCCCACCCCGCTCCACAGCA